AGTGCTGATTTCTATCAGCACTCTCTACACTGCTAATAGGATTGATAGAATTTCTACACGGGCAACTTGGAAAAACATGTGAATGCATGTATGTGTATAGATGATTAAAGTCCACATATCCATTAACATAATTACACATCTAGGAATTTACTTACAAAGTTGTTTACAAGTGTAAGATAATTTATGCAAAAATTTATTCATTGTAAAAGTATTCTAGGAGCAGAAAATTAGATTCAATATCTATCACTGTGGGTGCTTAAATTATGGTTCATGCCTGTAATGGAACATTATATTGCTAGAAAAAGGATGAAAAAGTTCTTTATGCACTTTACAAATTTCAGAGAAAAATTATTTAAACAAGCAAGGTGTGAAATGGTGTTATGGGATGATTATTTTTTCATAAGAAAAATACATATTATTATACATAAGATGTATACACCAACACAAATATATAAGAATATATAAAACACTTCTGAAAGGGAGAATATATACTGTATGTTAGTTAAACGAATAGATCTGTGTGGCCAGGAGACAGAGATGGGAAGGATTCTTTTCAGTGTCTTTTAAATCTCAATTATGTCCTTTAAAATTCTTAAAAATTTACTTATGCATACAGAACTGGGGTACAGGCCAGAGGTGTGGTAGGTGAGAGGATTCACCACAGAAAGAGTGGGGAACAGAACAGGCAGATTGACAAAGTACACTGCTGAGGGGAGCAGCCTGCAAGACAGAAGAGGTCTGCTGCGCCATGTGGATCACCTCAGGGGTCAGGGGGTATCGAACTCCAACTGAAGCTGCTGCTGCTAGCTTGCAGTGCTGCATCCTAACCTGTTGCGCCACTAGGGGCAAATAAATCTTTTAAAAAATATTAAGGGACACACTTTTATAGTTAATTTTTCAGGTGGCAGGTATTAGATGATATGTCAAATGTACAAAGGTAGTATGCATGGAACACAGGACCAAAAATTAGATTGACTGGGCTCTCTGGGTTTTCTAAGAGCAAAGGAAAACATTTAAATACTCCATATAGTTAAAAGTTTAAAATGCCATTTTGGTGTGGTGGCAGTGAAAATAATGTGTTCAAAGAGGTATATACATGGTATCATTCAGGAGAGCAGTCTCAAGGGCTTTTTTAAGCTTAACAATAGATGTACATTGTAGAATACAGGATGAGCTCACCTTCACAGATAACCAAGCTTAAGTATAAAAGTTCATAAAAAACAAAACAATGTGGTAAAATCAAGACTATAAACTATGGAATGGACTTAACTAAACATTTAATGTTTGGGGCCTACCTGGTGACACAAGGGGTTAAGTCTCAGAACTATCAAGCTATCTGCAACCTGGCCAGGGAGCAGACCCATCTGGTGCAGCAGACCTGTCTTGCCCACTGCTTCCCTCAGCAGTGCACTTCAGTTAATCTGCTGGTTCTGGTGAATTCTCTCACCTCACCACACATCTGTTCTTGTATGCATAAATAAATATATCTAATAAAAAAAAATGTTGATCAAGGTGATACCAAATTTGAAGCCAGGGAAAGGGAAATGGCTAATTCAAAAGCTGGGAACAAACACAAATTACTGGTTTTTGAAGATACATATATGAAAATATAAACAAACTGTGGACCAAATGTTTGAGGAAAAAGTACTAGGTAAGACTTAACAATAAAAAAACTCATCAAAATTAGGAAATGTGTAAGAGGTGGTAACTTGTACACTTTATTTTTATAACATTGGGTCTTTTTATTTTTTAAAAAAATTATATATTTATGTATACAGAACTGCGGCAGAGGACAGAGATATGGGGGGCAAAATTCACCAGAGTGGCGAGCAGAACAGATGAACTGAAATACGTTGCTAACAGGAGCAGTGGGCAGGTCAGGAGAGGTCTGCCACACTGTGTGGGTCAGCTCTCTGGCCAGGGATCAAACTTGTGCTGCAGTGGCTGCAACAGCTTCATAGTGCTGTGCTTTAACCCGATGTGCTACTAGAGAGGGTCAAAGTTTTTTTTTTTTAAGTATTTATGCATACAGAACAGGGGTACAGGCCAGAGGTGCAGGGTGGTGAGAGGATTCCCCAGAGACAGCGGGGAACAGGCAGATGGATCAAGTACACTGCTGAGGGTCAAGTGAGGTCTGCTGTGCCATGTAAATCACCTTGGGGATGCAGGATTGAACACACACTGAAGAGGCTGCAGCTGGCTTGCAGTGCTGAACTTTTAACCCAATACCACCACCAGGGAGGGCCCTAACTTGTACATTTTACAACCTATTTAAAACCTTGTATTTCATGTTGGGTGAGAATGAAAAGATGACATGCTCTTTAAGGAAAAATTGTGGTGATTCCTGAAATAAATAAACTTTTAAATATCACAATTCTACCCAGCAATCCCATCTGGAAGACTGGTAAAATTCTATCTCGAATTTTCATTGTATTACCATTTTTGAGTGCTGTTTTGAGGAACCATTTAAGCACTTTAACATGTAATCTTATTTATACATGCTCATACCAACCTGTGAGATTTAACTCTGCCTGACAGGTAAAAGATGCATAGACTAATTGTGTCAGGGTGACAAATTTAGGTCAGTTTTGGAAATGAACTCAGTTGTCCAACCTGTCTGCTTTCTACACAAAATTATCAGAGGGGGTTCAGTTGTAGTAACCACCATTCTTAGGGGTATTACTGTTCTGAAGGGTCCTTTTCTTTGTATGAAATTTCTCATGCCAAAACCCTTTTGTTTATTCAATATGGTATCAGCATATTAAGTTCTATTAAACATTACAGGACTCCTGTAATGCTTTGGTACAAAAGTATTCTCTTGTCCTCATAGTAGCCCTAAAATCTTGAATACACCAATTCCTTTGGACAGTTTCATTTTTGCTTGGTTCATCATGAAAAAGCACCAAGGAATAATGGGAAAGCCATGCTTTTGGATTCCTACCTGAAATTTACCAGTCACATGGCTGTGAATGCTTCATCTTGTCATGTTTTTTCATTGATAAAATATGTAATTACTTAGAAACCTTAGGTAGTCAAGGAAGGTACAACCCACCCCCCTAACAATCACTAGCATTAGGTGGAGCTATCTGAAAGTAGCAAAGGCCATTAAAGTTGCATCTGGAGATGGACTGCTCAAGTACAATGAACATAACCAATGGTAACTGTCACACCTTGCCTTGGCTTTTGTATTGCCCATCATGTTAACAGTTATTGTTTAAAAAAACTCAAAATGTTTTCCAAACGTGCATATATACACATATATGTATTTTAAAATTCATCTTTGTGTAGAACTGGGTATGTATAGGTACAGGCTGAGGGTGGAGGATTTACCAGATAAAGGGGAGCAGAGGGCAGAACAGTAGATCTGCTGTTCCATGTGGGTTAGCTCCCTGGCCTGGGATTGAACTCAGGCTGCATCAGTAAGCTCTTGTAGTGGAAGCAAAGACTTAACCCCTAGGCCACCAGGGAGTTCCTCAATATAAGCACTGTTGTGTATGAAGTTAGAATGTTGCCACTTAACTTTCTTAAAATTAAGTTGTAATTCATCACTGTATCAGCATCAATTATTTAGTAGTAAGGCTACATTGTGAGAATGAAAAGCCTTCTCAGAATTTGCTGCTGGTCATTTGTTAAAAAAAAAAAAAACAAGAAAAAAACAAAACAAAACTAGAGACCCCTAAAGCCACTTTTAATCACTAAGTAAAGATTAACCATTCACTTACATGCTTTTATTTGGAAATGTTTATATTAAGTACAGTGAAACTAAATTTTAGAGACACTGGATGTCATCACAGTTTGGATAGCATTAGTTTATTATAAAAGAGACACAGAAATTATTTACATGATGAAAGATTTCAGAACTTCAGTGGAATGGGCAGTTTCACATGATGCCATTTCAATATTGATTTCAGTCCACATACTTTCCAAGAATATCACCATCTCTAAATAAGAAATAATCCTACAAACAGGAAAAAACAATTAGTCAAGAAAATTAAGAGCAAGCAAGTGCTTTTAGCTTATTTTTAAAATTAGGAGTACACACCTTGTCATCTAGAACTACTTTGGTGCCTCCATATTCTGGGAGAAGAACTTTGTCTCCAACTTTCACACTAACTGGTTGAATCTCTCCACCCTTAAGAAAATGAGGATATTTATTAGCAAAGACAACTAGTTCGCCAAGTATTTACCTTTGTTTACCCTTAATTTTCATCAAATATTCTCACTCAAATCAAACATTGTTGCCAAGTGGTATAATTCATGTTACAACTAAAGAGTTCCTGAAAAACTATCAATATAGTGATGTAAAAATAAGCCATTATATTATTTATATATTACACATTATTATTTATATATTATAGAATTACTTTGTGCATAAGTGGTTTAAAACTTGATTTCACAGTAAATGTTCAAGTAATTATACTGTGGAAGCTAAGTTTAACTAAATCTAACCTTTTAGTCATTAAATATTAACCTATTGGTTATTTGAAATAAACCAGTCTTGAAAATTATATATACAAAGGTCACATTTAAGTTTCTTCAACATGTAAAAAGTTAAGTCTCCTGAACATGCACTGCGTACTTAAGTTCGGTTTCTCCAAAATACAAATTTGGGGGGAGGGACTGAAGCCCCTCTGAAGACTCACAGGATGGTTTCATGCTAGAACTTTCTTAGAGACAACTGAAACAATCAACACATATGATCCCAAAGACATTTATTTATTCCCCTCAATTCGCAAAAGCGCCCCTCTAAATTTTTTAACCATAATTTTTTGCTTTGTCAATAACTTATAATGTGAAAAAAAAATGATGTTTATACCGTGATACCAAAGTTACTGGTTTCTGCACTCTGGAACTCTCCCTCATATAAAGTAATTTTATTTCGCAATCATTTTCCTTAGGGTGGCAGATCATACATAATGTAAAAGGTAACTGTAAATGACCCAGGAATTCTTTTTTCTTCTACATTTAACTTAAAACAGCTCATTTAAGATCCCATTTACCTTTCCTTTTGAGCCTGATCCAACAGCTACTACTGTTGCTTGCAACACTTTTCCTTGAGATTTTTCTGGAAGCATAATGCCTCCTTTGGTTACAGTTTCAGCTGCACTCCTTTCGACTAATACTCGGTCAAAGAGGGGAAGAAACTTTCTAAATGCCTGTCCTGCCTGTTGGGAGATAAATGTTAGCTATGAAAGAAAAAACCATTTATAAACAAGCAATACCATCGTGCTACATGCAAACATCCCATGTGAAGCTTTCCACATAACACAAAATCTCGGCTTATTCCTTCCGAAAAAAGTTTCGTGTTTTGCTCTAAATCCCGTTTCTTTCTTTCCCCTTGTGTTACGGGTCGATGCCCCGCAGGTCAGCAGTCATGTCTGCCACAGGACAACCTTAATTTTTCCCAAGGTCACGTTATTTTCCTCCCTCAGGTTTCTCTGGGTATGTCCAGCAAACGCTAAGGTCAATCCCTCTGCCGGGGGCTAAGCTTTCCTTAAGACCTCACATACACGCAGGACAAGCGAGCCGGCCGCCACGCGTGCGTCCGCGCTCCCGCCTCCTGACCCCACACTCCCGCAGCTCACGCGTGTGCGGAGCCCTGGGCGAGAGGAAGGGGCGCTGAGGCCTCGCCGCTGTAGGGTTCGCGCACGCGGCGGTCGCTAAATGACCCCTGTCCTTCCGGCTACGACTAAAAAGAACTGTCCCTGCTCCCGGGGACCTTAGGCCCACCTGGGCCCGCCAGCTTCCAACCCATGCGGACTCACCATGACTCCGGCCCCCGCAGTCGCACTCTGTTCTCCCGCCGCCGCCGCCAAAAAGGGAGACCCGCAGCCCGCCCCTCCGGACACGTGAATGTGGGAAGAGGCCGCCCGATGCGCAGGCGCGCGGGCCCGCGGACTCCGCCCCGCACCTCCCCGCGAGAGTGGGCGGCCGCACCAGCGCGCGCCGGGATTCGTCCTGCGGGCCCTGCGCAGGTCCCTGACGCCGAGAGCGGGAGGCGGAAGGAAAGAGGAGCTCTTTCTAGGCTTTTCTAGGCCGCCTGCCGAGGTGAAAGTACTAGCCCTTCGCCCCCTCCCGGATGTGACGTGCTTTGCCCCTTGACCTACAGAAAGCGCGGCGTTTGCCGGAAAGTTCTGGAAACGAGCGCCGCCCGGGAACTAGCCTAAGTCGGCCCTAGAAGGCTGAGCCCGCTGGCCTGGCGCAGCGCGGGCAGGGAGGGGCGGGGCTGACGCGTCGAGCGTGCCGATTGCGGGGCCCGGGCCGACGGGAAGGGGGTGGGAGCCGCCGCGCACGCGGTGCCGCGGGGCGGGGGAAACGGCGGAGGGAGGGGACACGGGCTCATTGCCGTGTGCGCCCTGCACTCTGTCCCTCACTCGCCGCCGACGGTCTGACTCGTCGCCCGCGCGCCCCGCCGCTGCCCCGCAGGTACTCTGCCGCCCCACGCCTCTGCACCCCGTCTTCTCGGATCCGGGAGCCGAACTCAGCCCGCTGTGGACCTGCCGGAGTGGACCGGCGGGCGGGAGCCAAGGGCTCGCCCACGGCTGTGCAGGCCTGCGCCCGCTGGCCAGGCCTCGCGGCTCCATTTGGGAGCCGGTCACGTGCACCGTGGAGCGCTCGCCCCGGCCGGGCGCGGGAGGCGGAGGGCTCGCCGGGGTGTGTGTGTGTGTGTGTGTGTGTGTGTGTGTCTGTCTGTGAGTGTTTGTGAACGAACCCGGGAGAGGGGGCGCTTGTTCACTGGGGTTCTTCCATGCAACTCACTTTCGGCCAACTACAGAGCACCGGGAAGGGTGGTCGCCGCCGAGTGGGACTGCCTTTGACCTGGCGGGCCGCCGTGGTGCGGAGACTCCACCCTTGACCTTGCTCGGGGCGTCCTGATGGAAAGACACGTGGGGCCGCGCGGAGTGGGCCGGGCCGCCGCCCCCAGCGGAGCGGCCTTGCGGTCGCCTCTGATACTGTAGCCTGGAGTGGTTACATGAGGACTCCGATTACTAAGCGGATTTTTGCGGCGTCAGTAAAATTTACGTTTTCCCGGTCACTGGGTTTGAGAACCTTTCCCTTTTCCTTGAGTCTTGGGTTTTCAGGGGCCCATGTGCAGTAAGCTTGTTCTCAAGGCCGTTCTTGGGGTGGAAAATTAACTCTTTTGTTAGCGACAGCGGCTGCATTTAGGAGGACGTGGAGGTGGGGAAGATGGGTGTGCTCAGGTCATGCGTGAGGGAACTGAAAGCTTACGCTGGTAGCTGGTGGGATGACGCTGACACGTTGCAGGCTCAACCCCTCTCACATCTAAAATTTCTTGTTCTTTGACCTATATCTCAGGTGTCACATTTGTGCTGTAAGACACGTCGGGTATTAATATAACGGTCGCCGCTAATACTAATTGATCAATGATCTGCTTGTTTTCCCTTCCAGAAATGCTTCGATTACCTTCAGTCCTTCGCCAGATTAGGCCAGTGTCCAGGGCCCTGGCTCCTCATCTCACTCGGGCTTATGCCAAAGATGTAAAGTTTGGTGCAGATGCCCGAGCCTTAATGCTTCAAGGTGTAGACCTTTTAGCTGATGCTGTGGCAGTTACTATGGGGCCAAAGGTATTAGTATTACTTTGTTGTAATTTATATATTAAACAAGGAGTACTTTACCTATGCAGATGGTCATGTTAAGCAGATCTTTGGTGTGTTGACACCTTTTTTTGTTTCTAAAGAGAATCCCGTTTACATGTACGTTTCACATTGTTTTTTCCCCCCTTAGATTTAATTGTCTTAAAATTTCAACCACTTTTTCCAAATTTGTGAAACTTTATTTTCTATAATGTGTGATGTAATCTAGTGGAAATTCAGCTACAAGTGGGTTCTTAAAGTAAAATTAATCTGGCTTGCCTGCTTGAGTTAAATTTTGGATTCTTTCCCAGGAGTTAGTATCAAACTTACAGGAAAGCACATAACATAGCTTTTCTTTCTGTGTGCACTTGCAGGTGCTAGTTTTATCTAATGTTTTTCCTGCTTCCTTTCGGTTCCAGACTACATATAAAATCTTAAGACACTCTTCACCTGAGGAGATCGGTGAATGAGAAGTAATAAAAATTTGAGGAGACCTTTGAAGGTGGTGTCTCTTAAAGACAGTCCAGATAATCCAAATGATCCAAACTGGCATAAAACAAGGTGTTTACTTGGCTGACAATAGCAGTTTTGGTTCAAATGCAGAAATTGCTTATACTGTTTATATCATGTTTGAAATTAATATTGACTGAACTCTGTAAAAAGACTAGTATTTCCACAGCTAAATTTTAAGACAAGCTTAAAAATTGCTTTCAAAGATAGCAGCATTGGATAAAACAAATATAAAAGATGTAAATAATATTCCAGAATTTCATCATAATTACCAAGTTGGTATTGGTTTATAGGATAGCATCTTTTAGTCCCTAGGATGTGTTATTTTCTATAATAACCTCATCCAAAGTTATGCACTTGGCAAGGTAAACTAGGAGCACTGGTCAACTTGTCCTTCATGTTGCATATCTGATAAAAAGACTGCTTGTGTTCTGGTTTTTAGGTTATGCCCTGTAATGAAAAGTGCTCATTCTTTTTTAAGCTAAATATTGGAGTGTGTGACTCTGTCGCCTTCCCCCCCCCCCCCTCTGTAATTACAGGGAAGAACAGTGATTATTGAACAAAGTTGGGGAAGTCCCAAAGTAACAAAAGATGGTGTGACCGTTGCAAAGTCCATTGACTTAAAAGATAAATATAAAAATATTGGCGCCAAACTTGTTCAGGATGTTGCCAATAACACAAATGAAGAGGCCGGGGATGGTACTACTACGGCTACTGTACTGGCCCGCTCTATTGCCAAGGAGGGCTTCGAAAAGATTAGCAAAGGTGCTAATCCAGTGGAAATAAGGAGAGGTAGGAAAGTCTCTTCACTGTCCCCATAACATTCTTAACTGTTAAACTAATCTTAAAAAGCTGATCCTCCTCATGCCTAAAAATCATGTGCTGAAGCAAATTAGTACTCAGATGCCTGCATGGGTACTTTGCTAAGTATTGAGGGAAATGCAACTGAGGTAGCTGCTGTCACCTGGGTATACCTCTACTGCCAGCCCCCTATAAATAGTAGCTTCTTTGAAGATACAGAATGTATTACCTGGAGCCTTTTGATTGTAAATTGCTAACAAATTTTAACTGAGGTGATTATAAAAATTATCCCCCACTAAGTCTTTGTTACTATATACCTTGCTTTGGATTTTTTCTTAAAGTGAAATTTTCCAAAATAAAGAAAAGAAAAATTAGCACTTAGCCAAATTGAGCAAAATGGCATCTCATAAATTTATAATGTGGTGCTGCTACTAAAACAAAAATAGTTTGGTAGTTCATGATTATTAAATGATGACATAGCAAGTAACTAAGACTTGCTATGGCATAGACACAAGAAAACTCTTGTTGAAGATAAAAGACTGCGATCATCATCTTTGTGTCCTTCCATTGAGGGGAAATGTTAGGTGGCCCTTTTATTAATAGTCTGTCTCCATGTAATTAGGAAGAGAATTGGCACAGGCAATTTTTAGACTATTAATGCATTGAAACATTTAACATATTTTTGTTTGACATGGAGCTATGAACAGACATCATATTTTGATGACAATTATTTATAATTAGGTGTGATGTTGGCTGTTGATGCTGTAATTGCTGAACTTAAGAAGCAGTCAAAACCAGTAACAACCCCTGAAGAAATTGCTCAGGTAAGAATTTTTCACATAAATTTTAAAAATTAAAGATTATATTTATTTATGCATACAAGAGCTTGGGTATAGGCCAGAGGTGTGGAGGTAAGAGGATTGATCAGAGACAGTGTGAGGAGCAGAACAGGCAGATGTAGTGAAATACACACTGCTAAGGGGAGCAGCAGGAGGGCCAGGAGAGGTCTGCTGTGCCATTTAGATTAGCTCCCGGGCCAGGGATCAAATTAATGCTGCAGTGACTATATTTGGAGTTTTTAATGAACTGTCATTTTTTTTTTTTTTTT